TGCCCCTGAGCAAACGCCGGGCGGGATGGGACAGCGAATGTGAGCCCGTTGGCTGCGTTTACATTTCTCCGTTCAGTTCAACCCACAGAAGCGCTGGGTGCTGGATGGAAGGTGATACAGGGGCGTTGGGCCTGACTTACCAGCTGTGTGAACTTGGGCAAGTTTTTTAACCTCTCAACCCACTTCTGCATTTAAAAACTATTGTCTACATTGCAGAATCTCCGTGAAGATTAAATGAGCCAATCTGTGAGAAAGCTCCAAGCCTTCAGCATAAATAGGCAACCCGTGGGTACCAGGCACCTGGCCCGCTTGCACGGTGCTGCTATGTGCATGTGGTCCCAGAAACAGCTGGTCAAGGACTTGCCAGAACGTTGGCACTTTGCTGTTACTCTGCTTGCTAAAGGGCTGTTTGAACACCACACTAACATCCTCCAGGGATTCCTTTGTCACTGGTAGATGCATCCTCAGGGTATCAGGCTTTCCAGGCTTTTAGGATGTCATTCCCATGGAGCAGGGTGAGGAAGTGAAAAGAGTGGGTTAACATGCTTTAAAACCTTTCATTGGTCTCTTTCCTTAACCCTTGTAAATGCCAGAACTTTAGAGTTAAAAGGCCCTTGATTATCTTGCACTTAGAACCCCTGATCCTTACTAGAGCCAAACACAGGTCTCCTGATTTTTTGTCTTTGGCAAAGTTGCTATGCCCCACTGGTAGTTTAATCTTCCATCCAGATATATAACCTTACAGTCACATTGTGGGCTAAGGATGCAACAAGTGGATTTTTGGGGGACACGATTCAGTCCACAACAAGGATTCCATACATGAGTTTTAGACAAATTTTCTTTGAAGCAAAAATCCTATATTAATAAATTTTTAACTCTTTACTGGGTTTCGTGTAGCTCAGTAAGGCCTGTCGGATCTGGAAAAAGGCAAGTTGCTGCTTCCCTTTGGAAGACTTCTCCAAGTACTCAGTCTCCCAAGGTCTAGACTGGAATGGTGGAGAGGACAGGGGGCTTGGGATCAGGAGAGGTGGATAGGAGCCTTGGCTCTGCCATTCACCAGCTGTATGTCTCTGGCGAGCCATCAGCCTCTTACTTTAGTGTGTTAGAGCACTGAGCAGATAGGAGTCTTCAGGACTGGAGTCCCTGGGCTGTCACTACGGGAGTTCAACCTTAACTCCTACATGGTAGGGAAGTTCAAAGACAAAGGGAGTATTTTCTGGTTTTTCACTTGTGGCCCTTGTGGGAGTGTCCAAGAGGTGAAGGAGGTATTGTTGTCTTTGTAGGACAGCTCTCGGTAAGCATCCTCTGTCATGTAAGAGGAAAGTTTCCTCCGTGGCTTCGATGGATGAGCCTCTCCAGCCTGGTCAGAGGCAGCCTGCAAAATGCAGTTACTGTGGAAGTGAGGAAGAATCAGCCCCATTGACTCACCCCGTGGGTTCCCCCTGTGACCATGTCAGAGGGCTCACAAGTTCTCTCTTCACCTAGGGGACCACAGCAGAGTGACCAACGTGCCTTCTGTTTGTAAATCTCATTTGCGGTCCTTCTAAGCTGAAAGTCTACTCAGAGAGTGTATCCACTCTCTGGATGCTCTGGGCCTATAGCTTGCTTCTTCCATCCCCATATGAACCTAATTTTGCCTTAGAATAAAAACAAAACATCACTTGTGTTAAGACTGGTTTCAGTCTATATTGGAAGACTGATCTCTGATATCCTCCACTGTCTATGTTAGCATCAAAATCTTGGCTCTCCCGTTGAACCACATGCCAGGCTAAATGATTCCACCTCTAATTATGCCGCATATAACTCAGAACCACTCAGTGCTAGAGGGATCCCCAGGTGTGGGCAGCTGTAGAAGTACAGCAGTTCTGAGTCCTGGGATGCCAGAGATGGAGAGATGCTGTTTTGGGCTGTTGGGTCAATCATGTAAAGTATTAATGAGGCATCCTGGCCAGGGCCAGGGGGTGTCTGAGGCCAGGACCCTTTGCTTGCTTTGTGTGCCCGGATTCCTGACCTTCTTGCCTGTTATATGCAAGATATAATCAAAAGGGCGGCTGCTATGGACTGCTTTGTGTCTCCCTTCCCCAACTCGTATGCTGAAGCCTACGCCCTAGTGTGGCTGTATTAGAGTAAGGAAGTAATTAGGATTAAATGAGGTCAGAAGGGTGGGGCCCTGATCCCATAGGATTAGTGTCCTTACAAGTGGAGGTACCAGAGAGCTCCCTTTCTCTCTGCTGTCTGAGGACATGGCGAGAAGGAAACTGCCCGTCAGGAAGAAAGTTCTCAGCAGGGGCCAAATCAGCTGGCGCCCTAATCTTGGACTTCCAGCCTCCAAAACTGTGAGCAACTGAATTTCTATTGTTGGAGCCTCCCAGTTCGTGGTACTTTGTTGCACTAACACAGCTTCCAATCCCTATGCAGCTTTGGATCCTGGTGCCAACCGATGACCTGGAGAGATTATTTGCTACTTGAACCTTGAAAAAAAGAGTTAATGCCTGTTTCCCTCACTCCAGGATTGAGTTATGGTAGGAATTTCTGACTCAGATAAACAGAGTTTACCTTCACGGCAACCACAGGGTGTGTGTGTGCGTGCATGCACGCGTGTGTGTGTGTGTGTGTGAGAGAGAGAGAGAGAGAGAGAGATAGGCAGGCATGTGCACGCACACACACACATCTTCCCTTCATTATGCATTGCCATATCTGTTCTTTATTCTTCTCCGCTCTGCCCAGGGTTCTCTGGCTTCCACGTGGGTTCAGCTCGTGGTGGACAATGAGAAAGTGGGAGGAGAGAGTTGAAGGTTTTGTTCCTTTCACTTCCTCCCTGCTGGATTACCATGGATTGGCCCCAACCCTTGGCACCCTCCACCAAAGCCCCTGCAGTGGTCTCCTCCAGCTACTTCGCGAACTAGCCTTCGATGTCTGCTGTCATAAATGACAGTAAACTGGGTGGCTGCAGACAATGCAAAGTAAGTACCTTACAGTTCAGTAGGTCAGAGGTACAGGTCTGGCGGGACTACCACCAAGGTGTTGGCAGGGTAGGGTGTGTTCCTTCCGGAAGCCCTAGCAGAGAACCTGTGTCCTTGCCTTCCGGTTGCTGCAGGTTGCCAATGTCACTGCCTTGTGGTCTCCTCCTTCTCCAAGTCAGCAAGGTCGTGCCAGATCGCTCCCGTGCTGCCATTTCTGCTTCTCTCCTGCCTCCTCCTCCTTCTTTTAAAGACCCTGTGATTTTATTGGGCCCACCTGATACACACGGCAAGGATAGAGACTGCGGTGACAGGCAGTGGTGATGGGCGTGCTCCAAGCTTTGCAGTGGCAAAGCAGGAGGAGGGTTCGGGGCGACTAGTCAGGTGATTGTTTGGAGATAATCCAGAACAGTCTCCCCATTTTAAGCCCAGCCAACCAGCAACCTTAATTCCACTGCAGTCTTAATTTCCCTTTGCCGTGTAATGTGACCTCCAGGATGTGACATGGACACAGGTTCTGGGGATTAGGATGTGGACACCTTTGGGGGCTGATGCCCTGCCCCCTACACCTGGGCTCAGGCCACTGCCCCCTTTTCTTTCCCTCAGCCCAGGCTGGCCTTGGCCCCTCCTCTGGCTGATGCTGGTCTTGTCACAGCCCCCTGGCAGTCTTCCTCAACTCTGCCCATACCCTGTCAAAGGTTTCTTTAATAGGTTTCCTTAAGGACTCAGCTCAGGTGTCCCATCTGTTTTCTACCGGGACCTTGACGGATCTAGTGTGTACATGATAAAGGACTCTTATCCAAAATACACACAGAACTCTTCAAGCTCAACTATAAGAAAACCAAGAACTCGATTAAAAAATGAACCAAAGACCTTCGCAGACACCTCAACGAAGAAGACACACAGGTGACAAGTAAACATATGAAAAGATGCTCCACATCATAAGGCATCAGGGAGATGCAAATTAAAACAACCGTGAGGTACCACTATGCACCTATCAGAATGGAGAAAATCTGGAATACTGACAATGCCCAACGCTGGCGAGGATGCGGAGCGGCAGGAACGCTCACTCACCGCTGGTGGGAGCGCAGAACGGTGCAGCCACTTTGGAAGACAGTTTGGAGGTTTCTTACAAAACTAAACATGCTCTTCCCAGACAATCCAGAAATTGTGCTCCTTGGCCTTTACCCGAAGGAGCTGGAAACTTATGCCCACACACAAACCGTATGTGCGGACAGATGTTTGTAACAGCTGCATCCGTAACTGCCAAAACTTGGAAGCAACCCAGATACTCTTCTGTAGGTAAATGGATGAACCAGCTGTGGTCCATCCAGATAATGGAATAACAGCTCTAACAAGACATGAGCTATCAGACCAAGAAAGGACACGGAGGGCAGGAGGGGTGAATAGGTGGGGCGCAGAGGATTTTTAGAGCAGTGAAACACTTGTGTGATACTAAAAAGGTAGATACATGGTAGTACACGTTTGTTGACACCATAGACCATACCACACTAGTAATGAACCCTAATGTCAACCGTGGACTTCGAGTGATATTGATGTTAGTGCAACAGTTCATCAGTGGTAAGAATTGTACTACTCAGGTGCCAGGATGATGGTAGTGGGGAAAGTGTGCATATATGGGAACACAGTATATGAGAACTCTCTATACTTTCAGATCACATTTGCAGATCAACCTAAACTACTCTAGAAAAATTAAGTTTATTAAAGAAAAAAACCCTACCTGACGTGACTTTTTTCCTGTTCTGTGTCCTTGCCACTGTGTGAAGGACTGTTGGAGCCAAAGAGGAGTAAGGCCCGTCGAGGGGTCCCCACAGTAGTCGGGATGATGCGACACAGACTCACA